AGCTATTTTTGGATTTGGAGCAGAAAAGCTCAGACTTCACAGTTTAATTAAACTTCTGAGGTAATCATCATGACAGAAATAGCTTGACTGTACACGTTTGCGTGGTGCTGGCCAAAAAGACGTGCATTGCTTGCAGTCAAAATCGAGTGCAGATAGCATCTTCATTCACCATTTCTGGCACCACTGCTGCCATTAGTGGATGTTATTTGGGCTTCACGCTCATGTGTGTGCTCTTAGAGCACTTGGATCCCAACGGTGCGGACTTCTTGTTACCTCAAGGGAACACTGACTATCTCCCTTTCCAGCCACAAAAAGAGAAATGAGCTTCTGTACTGAAGTGCTGCAACTGCCTGAATTTACTCCATGCGTCAGGCACACTGAGGCTTGGAAAAATATCCTTCAAGAGCATCTGCTGATTCTCCTATAAAATAATTGACTGCAGTAACGCCTCCACAAACATATAGTGCTAAAGAAAGTGAGTTAACCATCTCTGTCTGTCAAAAGCATAGGAAAACATTTCTTATACAGTCTCCAAATATGTGTTTAAAAATCTTAACGTAGCCTAGTTTGAACGAGAGCCCCCATCTCATTTTCTGTTTTTATGGCTGAAAAGAAACAGTGTTAGTCAGGTTCTTTTACAGCAAGGCATCACTCTCCTGTAATCAAGAAGTGGGATAACTGTCCCTTCCACAGAATGGAAGCACTAAGCCCTGACATCGTTTTACTGATGTGTTTTGATTGCAAGGCACAGATGAGACCAGAGCTACAGTAAGAATGCTGCGTGGCATCTGCTACTCAAAGAAGCTGCATTATATACTACTTAAAATCAAGAAAACTTCTAAGCAGCTACAGCTACCTCAAACACCACATTCAGGCTGTCAGTCTTCCCAATAGGGGAGCACAAAAATTAAAGGCTACATCCGAAGAACGGGACCCAAGACCGATTCCCATCCGCAGGTCTGTGCCCAGCCGTGCTTGGCCAGCACACGATACCCTCCTGCCAGTCCTGGTTTGCACCTGCAGAGCTGGAACTGCACAGACCTCTGGCTGGTCCCTGGTCTGGCAGGGTGGGAGACCAGGACTGCTGGTACCCCTCAGAGCGCGCCTGCCCCCACAGACGCAGAGGGCGCTTTCTCTGACCGTCAGGAATGATTTCTAGTCATCTAATCGATCTGTTGTGATCCTTGATGTGTTTGG